GGGGGTGGGGGGGAAATCTGCATCAGGAACTAGGTTCATCCTCCAAAACTGATTTGATTAATCAAAAGAAACATTAGCCACAGTGAGTGAATTGGCAGATTGTTTCTGCTCAGCACGGGCCATATTTCTGGCAGTAATCAGTGTGCTCTGAGTGTCCCAAGCAGAGAGATGCTGAGATGTCCTCAATGCCACTGGGAAGCAAAACGTAAAGAAGTTAAAGCATCGAGGAAGCCAGAAGCACTTTTGAAATTCCCTCTAACTCCTGAGCTGCGTTTAGGAACACAGATCCCCTTTGAAAAGCCAGTCCTGGGAGCCGGGAGGGTTTGAAAAAGCAGATCTCCTCCTCTCCCACCTGGTCTTTATTCATGGGCTGAAAGGGGAAAACAGGCTTTCCTGCTTCCCCAACTCCCCACAGCTTCTCAACTTCAAATGAACCAGCTCAAATGGAAGAAAATATTCTCTCTGCACCTGCCTGCTAACATGAAATTAGGAGTAATTAAGGCAAGAGCTTTTATGCACAACAGGAACTCAACGTACTGACATTTGGAAAAATGTAAATACCATCATTTGCTCCATTGTAAAGAGTGAAAATAATAGATACTAAGTATATGACATTGTGACATTTAGAAAGCTGGAGTTAAAGATGTTTTCCCCCTGATCTGACATATCATTGAAAAAGCAGCACCCTTCAGCTCATTAATATTTGAGGAGGACTCCTTGATGGAAGTTATTTAAATGATTAATAGATTATAGTAAATTTAAGTCTTGAAATAGGTTGTCATAATTTCAAATTTATTTAAACAGGCTTATTTTTAAAAAGAAAAATGTATTTCAATAAAAAATTGATTCTTGTTTTAAAAGAGCACACAATTCAGCCACAGAGCCTGAGCACATTATCCTCTCCCACCAGGCATCACAAGACAACCCTGCAGCTGCATCACACACGTCAGAAGTGCTAGAAACGGAGGAAAACACCCCATAAGTCAACTGTCATCACCCCAAACTGTCAGGCTACGATCCCTCCATCACACCATAGGACAAGGCTGCTCCACCATCTCTGCTCCTGTCCCGGGCAGAGGTTCTTGAGGCAGCACCTGGATGAGTGAGCTTTAACTTTGGACCTCCTCCTCCTCCTCTCCTCGAAGGTCTTAGCAACACACCAGCTGCCCCTAGCCCACTCCATTTCGACTTGAAAAAATTATACATATAAATGCTTTCCTGTGAAGTTCTCCTGGAGTTTGGTTCAAACAAGATCAAGACCAAGACCAAGCTTCCTCCCTAACACAGCATCTCTTTGCTCTCCTCTCCCTGTCCAATGCATTCCACTTTTATCTTTGTCTTGCTTTCCAAGCAGACATCTGGTCACCCGGTGGGACATGCTACAGGGACCCATATAGCCAACATGGGCCATTTATCTGGATGCTGTAGGGGCTCAGCTCTGCCATGGGGCTGGCAGGTGCCAACTCTGCAGGCCAGCTCATACCACAGGGCCAGGAGACCCTAGAGGAGTTGGCAAAGAGGGCAGAAAGCCAAAAAAAAAAAAAAAAAAAAAAAAAAAAAAAAGTAGGTGGGAAAGGATAATTTCAAGTTCAAAGTTTGAAAAATATTGATGATAGGCCTGGTCCCTGCATGGCTTTCATTAAGGACATGGATATAAAGCCATTAGCACTAGTATTAACTTCTTGCACCTCTGTTAAAAAATAGCCTCTCTGAGTCAGGGGTTAATAACAGTAGGAGACCACTAATTAGACTGTGCCGTGTTCACCTGGTATCAGATGTGGCACAGGTCCTTTATATCTACAGAAGCAGCAGCCTCCAAAGATCCTGGATGATGCTTTTAACATAATGGCCGTGGCTGCTCCCCTCCCAGACCATCTGCGAGGGAAGGGGAGGGGGAAGGAAAGGTTGTAGAGAAGCACACAGGCGAGGACAAAAGTCTAGATGAAGTTGCTGAAGGTGGGTGGTTTTATACCCGCTTCATTACTGATCATCCCAAACAACCTCATCTCCCTAGGGACAGTCATCCCACCCAAAGCAAACCCAGTCCTTCTGGAGGCAACACCTCTGCCTCTCCCAATTCTGGGAGGCAACACTCCTGTCACAGACCACTTCTGCACCTGAGCTGGGGCAACCTTGAAACTGTGGCCCCCAAGCCTAATGCCAGCACAGACCCATTTCTGCACCCTCATAATCCTGCCAAGACCTGGCACTGTGGCCCACAAAAAGAGCAACTCTCCTTAAAAACACACACCAGCATCTAGATGGAAAAAAAAAATGGCAAAACAATTTTCCTTTACTTTTGGAAGCATTAATAGATTCCTCCGATTAGTCACATGAACTCTGCCATAATGCCAGTCTCTGCAGACTCATTTCATTCAGCAGAGCACAGATTTTGACTTGGACTTATATTTCCTTGTTAACATTTAAACCTGGCTTATTTTCCATCCGGAACCTGACTGTGTTTTTATTTAAGTTTCCCATTAGCTAAGGCTTTTGCTCCGTGTGTAAACATCACACATCCTTTAAAGAGCTCTGACTCAGCTAAAGCAAGCCCTGGCCTTGTACTTTTCCAAGGGTCTCCAATGTCTTAAGTAACTCAGACCTTCCCACCATGAGCCACTCGCACTCTCTGTTGGGACCTCAGGCCTTGATTCCTATCAATTCAGATGTCAAAATGCATATCCTAACATTTAACTCATTTTTACTTACAAGATTTTAGTGACACATCTTTCATGGGATAATATTAATGTTTTAATGAGCCCATTTGAAAAAATCACATTAATCACTGACTATCCATATTTTATTTGCATTTTTTCTCTTGTCTTCAATCTCGGGTAAAAAAATCAGCTCATTCTGTAGGTCATTCTGCCTTTTCAAGACAATCCAACTTTTCTATACCAGCAAACACAAACTTAATTTTATCTGTTAGGAACCTGCTTCACAGGAGAGGGCACCTTGGGCAAAATTTCCAAAAGATCCATAGACATGGGAGAACCTCAAGGCTCAAGGAAAAGGCATCCGCTGTATCTGGAGCCACTCTTTGGCTAGGTCAGAAACATCACCTCATCATGACATCTGCACGTGGGGCTGGTACACGTGAAGCCATTAGCCGTCATAGCAAAGGTGCCTTTGTTTTTAGCAAGGTCATCAACGACTTACATTTCAAAGCTGTAGCCATGCTTTACCCTTGAACTGTGACTTTTGTCCCGAATATGCCAGAGCCCTAATTCATCCCTTTCTTTAACAGCAAAACCCTCCATCACTCTGGGAATGACATTGTGCTGCATGGCCATTTCCAGAGTGAAGGACACTGATTCATCATTAATGGGTCTGAGTCGACTGGGTTTGCTCTGCAGCTGCTGACCTTACAACACGATGTGCCCCATTGCCTGGCTCTTTCCTGCAGACCCAAGGACGTGCCCAACCGCACCTGTGCACCATCCCCTCTGAGCTTATTTTTCTACCACGTTTGTCAATTTTGACAAAAGATGGGAAAAACAATGAGCAGACTGGGATATTCGCTGGTGTTTGATTTTCACTCCTGCTTTGTTAGTTTGGTCCCATCTGCCGTAACTGTGAACTACAGAGGAGATGTGGGAAGAGAGACAAATCCACCTCCTTGACCAACACTCAGTAGACAT